TTATTTCTTTTCCTTCATCTATTACTGTTGTTTCTTTTTCTTCATCTTTTACCGTTATTTCTTTTTCTTCATCTATTACCGTTATTTCTTTTTCTTTATCTATTACTGTTACGTTTATATATATATAATTTTTAAATTGTTAGAGTTTATATATATAAGATTTTTGATCGAATTATGTCGATACGATGTTTGCACATTTGTGTGCATGACGCGTGACATTTGTGTTAGTTCGATCTGGTTGCGATGATCGCATTTTTGTGTGAGCAATAATACTATTTTTTGCTTAATTTCTTTTTCTTTGCGATAAATTTTGTTTCGTCCGATTTAGATCTGGTTGCGATGAGCGCATTTCTGCGTTAGCAACATTGTTGGGTTATTTGGCACATTTAAAATTCATTATTGTTTTTATTATTATTATTATATTATTATTATTATTACTATTATTATTATTATTATTATTATTATTATTATTATCATTATTTATTATTATTATCATTATTATCATTATTATTACCATTATTATTATTATTGTTATCATTAATTTATTAAAATTTGTTATAATATAAAAATCTGTTTTTTAAAATAAATAACATTAACATCTTTTCCAAATTAATATGAAAACCTATTATTTTTAAGAAAAACTTTTTTTTTTAGATAAATTTAAAATAATAACTAAAATCTTTTTTTAAAATAATAACTAGAACCGTTATTTATTTTATTTTATTATTGTTCAATTCAAATTTCATTATCATATTGTATCTGCTCCTCTCATGTAACCTCGCGAACTTAACAATCGCTCTTTAAATTCTGCGCTTTAAATTTCTGCTTGCATGGTTAAAATTATGACATTATCTCTCTGTTTGCATGATTCAATTATCTCACGCGTTTACTATTATTTCTGTCACATTGCACACATCCGAAGATTAGGTCTAACTGTTTGGCCGCCGCGCCAATAGTCCGTAAACTTCACACATTCAATCTCAAATCCTCAAAACTACAAACTACAAACCCTAATTTTCACAAATGCCTCGCCGCAGGCAAAATTACAATTTTACCCTTAGCATTAGGTCAAAGAGCCGCCGCGCTCATTTTAGGGTTTCCCGCCGTGGAATCCCTAATTTAACCCTAATTACAACTTAACATTTCAACATAGAGATTTGGAGTTTCTACACTCCACGTAAGCGTGTCCTTAAGATGCGTTTATTCCCCTTGAGACCTTGACCACAGTCAAGAAGTTTCTAACCTCCCTATTGAGGGGAACTACGATTACTCTGATTCCACTCCCGTAAGGATACGTAGGCACAAGATGCGATGTCTTGCCGAGTAAACTTAGAATTAACCCCTTTTATTATTTATTATTGCTTATTTATATTTTATTTATCTTTGCTATTTAATTATTTTGCTTATTATTTTGTAATTGTTTCTTGGATGTAAAGTTGTTTAATTATTTAATTATTATTATGGTTAGTAATTAGGGAGTGTAACAACATGTATGTAATATTAAAATAAATTTAGATCACTTTTAATAAAGATAATTAAAATAAACACGTCACACACGTAAGTCGATTTTAATCGCCGTCTCACTTCCTAAGGATATCCCTCAAGTTGCCTACGAATAATGGTTAAGTGGGGTGTATAAAGCAAGGTCCCTCAAATAGAAAAATCATCAAAGTCCCTTATGGTTGCCTTTACGAATCGAGTCCCTTTCGAAAAATGATGATGGTCCCTTATATGTGCTTATTACATCCCACAATGGCCTTCAAAGTCAAATTGTCCCTCACATATCCCTTAACATCCAAAGTAAGGACTACCTACTCCATTATAGTAGGGATAGTCTTACTAAGGAAAGGATAAAGAATAAGAAAGACCTTAAAACATTAGGGTAGGCTACTCCTAGATACTTGCTCACTTCAAAACTGTTTCTCACACTTAAACAAATTCCAACAAAATTTTCAAACAAGTTTTTTTTCACATCCATACACGGATTATTATTAAAACTATTCTGAAATTTTTTGCTATTCACACACTACACTTTCAAAACAATTCAAAAGTGAGCTTAACGTACCTAAGAGCCCATGGATAACCATGGATGAAAAGGGTGCTAACACCTTCCCTTTTCATAACCTACCCCCCGGACCCAAAATATTCTCTAAGGTCCTTCCTGTTCTTTTATAACCTTTCCTTATGGATAAAATAAAAGTCGGTGGCGACTCTTGCTATCCGCAACATTGTTTAAAGTCAGTTCTCCCACCGTGTTACAATGTCCACGTTTTCAAGCATCCCCGAAAGAATCACATCTCTTTTACTATAAAAACGCATAATAAGATATATCATTAGCATACACCAGATGGGTTAGAGTAACTAATAAGTTATTAAGGAAACTCTTACACACTCATAAAAATGTCCTTTTAAGAACCCTATCTTCTCTTTATACAATCACTAGAAAATATTTTTCGCATATAGCTAGATAGTTACAAGCTCAAATAATCCCTTACGAATGAAGCTTACATTCGATAATTGATTATCACTTAAGTCTAGTCGATTATCTAATTTGTAACTCCTCATAATCAATTAATATGGTAGATAATATATTAGAAATAGTGAAATTTGAAATCTTTTCATTTTTTAACACTACATATTGGATTATACCCATGAATAACCGATTATGGCATTAAAAAGCCCATGGATCGTTTTATTTTTTGATTAATTTTTTCCTATATAATAAGGGTGCCTCCTTACTATTTCATACAACAAAATTTGTTTGTAAATCATTCTTTCTGTCATTTTAACTTTTTTTTCTTTTTTCTTTTATTCACTCTTTCACTAAAATTGTCTTAGTGTTTTTTCTGAGTGAAATATTTGTGAGGTTTTAGTTGTACTGGTGTTCAACTAACTAATCAATAGTATGATTCTCTTGAATTTTCTCTTGTTGGTTGTTAAGGTTTATCCTAGTAAAAATTATGTTTTGTTTCCGAGATCATCCGGTCAAAATCTCGTTCTTAGGTTGTGATCTTAGCCAATGAAAAGCTCCATTTGATTTGAGGGATTATTTTTTTTAAATGTCCTAGTTAATTTAATTAGGTTCTTGGGCATAACATAGTAAGAGCTTAAAAGATATCATTATAGAAGTTTTTCTCGAGAAGAATAATATGCTAAGATATCGGTCAAACCTCTCTAACTTCTGGTGCTCTCTCTCTCTCTCTCTCTCTCTCTCTCTCTCTCTCTCTCTCTCTCTCTCTCACACGCGCGCACTCACATACACACACGTACATCATTTACTTTCATCTATTTCCATTTTCTACTACTTTTATATCTGCTCTTTTAACCATACTAACAAAAATTGTTGTTAGTCACAATTTTTGAATACCACTATTTACCCCATCTCCCCTCCCTCTTCCATCTTCCCCCTCTTGTACTTGAAATCACTTGTTTAACACTATGTCTGATTGTTTTGGATCTAACCATGATAAATATGATGTGTTCTTTCCTTATCTCTTATTTTTTTATCTATTATCTTATTCTTCATCTAATATTTTGTTAAAATCAACTTATAAACCTTTTATTTAATAAAATTTTTGGGAAAAATTATATCTCAATTCACCCATCTTCCTTCTTATATTTGAAGTCACTTGGTGAACCCGTATGTTTTTATAAAAGTCATCAAGTGTCATGTAATAGAAGATTTATTGGTTGACTAACCATACATGGAAAATATATCATAACATATGTGGAAAAAAATCCTTAGAACCTCCATTTTGATAGCTCAAAACAAGAGGGTTTCGAGATGGATAATAAGTCATCTCATCCAAGACGTACCAATAAAACTTGTGTTCTAACTAGGGCTGGAAATGAGTCGAGTCGAGTCAAACTCACCTCAGCTCGGCTCGACTCGTTAAGAATTGGTTCGAGTTGAGTTTGAGTTCGAGTTCTACACGAACTTTTTTTTAAGCTCAAAATCGACTCGTTATAAGTTCACGAACAGTTCGGTTCAACTCGTTAGGTTCATCTCATTAGGTTCAACTCACATGATTCACGGACTTAAAAATTATTTTTTTAAATATATATATTTTTTAGTATATTTGACATTTTAAATAAATATATATTTTTTAAATAAAATATTAAAATAAAATAAAAGTTATCATATTGAAATTTAATTTTATCTTCAAAATCTACTAATTCAAAACCTACACAACTTTCAAGAGATATATTTGAGAGTCTAATTCAAAAACTACTAAATTGAAGATTAAATTTGTCTAAGATTTGGAGTAAATATTTAGACCTAATCTTAAAGACAGTATAATTCTTCTCATATGTAATCGAGTTGACTCATGAACCTAACGAGTCGAACTATGTATAGTTTAAGTTCAGCTCATTTAGTTAACGAACTTAATTTTTCGCTCATACTCAACTCATTTGGTTCATGAACCTAGTTCAACAATTTAATTGTCGAATCGAATTCCGAACTATTTTCGAATTGGTTTGATTCATTGTCAACGCTAATTCTAATTGACTACTTTTTATTTCATAACATACTATTTTTTATTTCATTTTCTCTTATTTTAGAGGTATTTTCCAAATAACAACTACTTTCTTTTCTTTTAACCTTTATAAAACCATATTTTTTAAAAATGATCAAATAAGTTGTAACATAGTTTCAATTTTGTTATATTATAAAGCACATCTATTCAATCACTTTAACCTTATTGAAAATATGAAAACATGGGAAATCATAGGAGCAACTACTAATATATTATTAAAAATAAATATGTAAATATTCTACCTATATTTCATTGTTGTTATATATCCTTGCGGCAAATACAACCTATTTTTTGGGTTTTTTTTTGGAGGTAGACATTCATTTTAGAAAGCAAAATATGGAACAACACATCTATTGATACATACACAAGCTAACATGTAAGAATGAAATAGTCTTGATGGCCTAACTTAATTGGTTTCATTTGAGTGATTCTTTCTTTAAAGATATGGATTTGTCCTTTTTCTCAAGGCAAAGGAACTCGTCTACGATACTCAGCTAGAGCCCATAGTGGATAAATATCTCTATACATTGGATAATGCAACATGCAGTTTTTCATGAATACTCCTGTGATTTCCTACAATAAGGTAAAAAACAATTCATTATTGTGTTAGCTAGAATGCAAGCATGCAACATGCATCCATATTAGAAGATTGAGATGAACCTGTTGAGGCCAATCGCCTTCTTCTAACTGAGAATTAATGAGCAACTTTGCTGCACGATGAAGAGGAGTGGGATCTCTCTCTGACTGTAGTTATGAGTGAAGTTAAGATAATAAATAAATATTTGTGATGAAATGAGTCTATAATCACACATAGAAATGTTAAAATCAAACCTGGCCGGCATGAATTAAACCCATAAGAGCCCATGAAGTATGTACGACATTTGACCGATTTCCTTCCAGAGGTACATATATCTGCGCAGATGTCAAGATAATTGTTGAGAAATTATTGGTAACTAAATGACAATAATTATTGAATTATGAACCTTTTTTGGGCTTGAAAGATAGCTTTCCCCCCAGCCGCCGTCGTCTCTCTGTGTTGTAAGAAGAAAATGAACACCTCTACGAATAGCAGCAGAATTGGTATAAGTCTTTCCAGCCGCTGCTAAACCACCAAGAGCGAACCAAGAGCCATAAGTAAAGCAAACTCCCCAGTTTCCATACCATGAACCATCATCTGTTTGCGTATCTTCAAGGAATCGAACTGCATTGAAAATGAAATTTTCTATCTCTTTCTTCCTATGACCGGGATATAACTTCTTGAACAAAACTAAAGCTTGGATTGCTGATCCTGTGCACTCAACATATTCATGCTCAACTACAATGTCCGCAAAAAATTCTGTAGGATTGAGTAGCTAAAAATAAATAACAAAATTAGTTAGTTTATTAACCAATAAACAGGTTTCTGATTACATATTAGTGAAATACTTACTTCTAACCATTCTTGAGCGCCCGCCGGCTCCCAGGCTGCCAAACCTCCTTTTTTACTCTAGAATAATTTCAAATGTCTAAAGTAAATAAACTTAACATCGAGGATCAAATTCACTTCTAATCAGTTAACTAAAAGTATATGAAAATAAATTTAACATTACTTACTTGAAGCGACAATAAGAGATTAACAGAATCAAACAACCTTTCTGGTTCCATCTTTTCCCCCACAATTTCTGAAGGCAACAATGATAAAAGTAGACAACACTGAAATACCACACAATATTACCTTTATTAACATACATTTGTTGTGGTTAACAAATTAAGTTGTTCATGGTCTATATTTTTAGCTACCTTTAAACCTTCTGCGGTGCAATCAGAAACTTGCCACCCATGGTCTTGATCAGAGAAGGTCCATGAGCCTTTAGAAATATGACGATGCATACTCTTAAAATCTCCAGAAGGATTCTCTGTAACCTGTGACATAAGACTATAAGTTTTTATGTAAAATAAAGATAGCATGAATTTGGATAAACTTGATTCATTCGAGAGTTTATAATCTTTAATTTGAAGGAGTGATAAGTGTGATTATCTATGTCACATGCTTGTGATCAAAATTAAGCATACCTGAGACTTTTTGATGAAATCATGTCCTTTTGCAAGTGTGGGTTTGATTTCCTCAATTAGATTGGTGGCAAGCAAAGCTTGAACGGCAAAACCAGCATCCCATTCTTGACTACCAAAACTCTACATTGAATTAACAAGAAATTTATTCAATGAATATGTTTCATTAGCTAATATACTAATATGATAACACTCTCTCAAGTACGAGTCTATCCATATTGGATATGAGAGGCACACTTCATATTTACCAAAACCTTAAGGTGATAGGTGGGTAGGTTCTCTCACTTATAAATAAATGTTCAAGTCTCCACATTTCTAACCAATGTGGGACTATTACCCACCACACTACTCACACTTGCCACATCCTCAACACTCCCCCTCAAGTGTGAGTCTACAATGTTCCCTCTCAAGTGGAAGTTCTTCTTCCACAAACTCTTGTACCGCACTGAATGTTTCTTGCTCACCACTTTTGTGATGCCGTTGACACTATTCAACGGAACGTTTCTTACTCACCACCTTTGTGGTGCCGTTGACTTTCTATACAAGTAAGTCGGTCCCTTTTTCAAACCAAAGAGTATTGAACATTGTGAGACTATTTTTCTAGAGCAACACTTTTGTGAGAGACACACCGTATATTCACTCAAAATCTTAAAGTAGTAGGTGAGTGAATTCTCTCACTTATAAATGCTTAAGTCTCCATATTTCCAACCAATATAAAACTATTATCTACCGCACTACTCACACTTGCCACATTCTCAACCGTACTGAAATATGACGAATCAATATACAAACCTGCATTGTCATTCCATCTTCAGATATCCACAAGTAATCTGGAACTCTTGCTAGATGCTTCTTGAAAGCATCTCCATTTGGGTCATCCACCCAACAAGCAAGCATACATAAAACCTAATAAATATATATATGTTAATAGTGTATTTTTGAATGAAACCTATGAGATAGTTTAGCTTGAGCTATTGCATATAGCTAATTAATCAATACCCTTCATTTCTATGCTACTTACCTTTTCCACACATCCAATAGTTAGGTATCGACTATTTTCATCCTCGTAGTGGATATGCTTCATTGTTACTTCAAGGGCTCTTTTCCTAACCAATTTATTGAAAGGCCAACGAGTCAAAAGTGGCTCCGTGAAAATATACAAGCTATCCCATATCAAATCTTGTATCAAAGGATGAGGATAGTAAATATCTTCCTGTGAAACATAAAATGGATCATAGTCAATCCAACCATGTTAAAGAGGAAATGTAAGTTCACACATTCACATTAATTAAACAAAATGGTTCTCACCTTTGCACAAAGATGACGTGTTTTCGTCCAATTAATCTTTTCATATGGTTGAGTATGGAGTTCTTCTCGCAATTGTAAAATGAGCGGTGTGATAGGACCGACAAATCTTTTTCCATACAAATACGACATAGGCATGTATACCAATCGACAATAACACCACATTTTAGCTACAATTAAATCAAGGAGAAAATGAGATATAACAAATTCACAATTGAAAAATTCACAACATGATCAATAAATTCAACCTGGATGCATAGGAAGAAAGGAAGGAAGGATCCAAAATTCAGGGGGCATTGGGTTACTTCCCAACCAATCAAATACACCAAGTATCTATAGATAAAAGATATATTTTCATTAGTAACATACAAATTTACATGTTATATTGCATAGAAAAGAATGATACCGAAAGCCAAGTTTTTCCCCATGAAGGTATATGCGTGACACCACCGTGTTGTCGAATCCAATTTCTTGCTCGAACACAAGCATTGTCTTGACCACCATCAGGCCCTTCTCCAAGAATGCGCATGCATATATAGTTGAGTGCAGTACAAAACATGGTGCTATGACCCTCAATGTGAAGCCCCCACCCTCCATCTTCATTCTTCAAACGAAATCACAACAAGGTCAATACAAATCGTTCATAAAAGTGTGTTAAAATTGAATGATCAAGTATACCTGATGATAATATATATAAAGAAGAATCTCTTTGCGATACTCTTGTGGAAATACTGAATCAAGATGTCCAGTAATGTAGACACAAAAAACCTACAAGTAAAAATTTAATTAATATTGTTAACTATTACTATTTCATTCAACTAATCATATTAATATTGAGTATTTAGCAAGTACTCACCAAGGGAGGCATAAAAAACAAAGGACCTGCAATTTGAGCAGGCCAATGACCATCACTAGTTTGCAATGCAGCTAAGTGATGTGTGCCTCTTCTCAATGTTGTTGTAGTTTTTTCATATGTTATTTCTTCTCCATCTTCTATCTTTACGCTGTCTATTGTTTGCTTGAACTTGTTTTCTCTAAGAACCTACAATGTCAAACAGCAAAAATGAAAAATACATATTACTTCATCTAATTTATGTTACTTATAGCACTCTCAATTAAATATTTTTTTTATTTATATTGATGTTAAATAATAAATATGAATATATTAATAAAACGTTACTATTTATTTTTTATTTATATTTTTTTAATATATGTGAGGTCACTCAGTATGTTATTTTGAGAGCAATAGTTATGTGAGGTCACTGAGTATGTTATATATATTAATGTATGTGAGGTCATCCATAAAAATTTAAGTAAACAGTATGTTATTTCTGCAAAATAAAAAAAATGGTAGTAATATAACTTGAAAGATACGTAATATTATTTTAAGTAAAGTTTATCGAAAAAAATAAACTAATACGTTAAGAAAGACGGTTATGACTGAAAAGATAGAATAATAATGTGATACCTGAAAACGCCATAGAAGATCACCACATGGCTTAACCTGGAAGCGGTTCTTGTAGAAATTGCGACGAGCTTCTTCAACCTGAGCTCTTTCTTGCTCAGTACCTGCTTCAGGATCATACTCCCATGTCTGTCTTCCCACAAAGTTGTTTGTGCTGAATAGATATGGATCGTTAGCACCTTCTGCTATGTTGAGCTTCCACATGTTTCAGAGGTGATGGTAGCTAGCTATAGAAAGAGATGAAGTCGATGTTTATGAGGGACTTCTGATATCTTTTGCCGCTACTTATATAGCATTATTAATTTTTTTAATTAAGTAAGGGACCACAATTTCGTCATTTTTATAATCAACTTGCGTTTTGGACTAAACTTTTTATTTCTTTATCAACTTTTTTTCCCTAGGATGCCACACCTTCTAACATATTTTTGTTTTTTAAGTGTTTTTAAATTATACATTGAGTGTTTCTTGCCTCTCCATACTTCCTTTGTATTTTTGTATTTGTTTTTTTAGTAGATAGTTTTTTTTTTTGGATGGAGAAGGAATGAGAGATTGAGAGAATTAAAAGTAATTGTATTATTGAATTAATGAAACTGTTTATATATAAAGTTACTTGTACTTTAAGTAATTTATATAATTTACTAAGTAACTCATTATATATAGTAGAAATTTTGTACATTTTATGGATAGATAGAAATAAGATTATTTTTTAGAATAAGACACTTGATTATATCCACAATAAACATATCATAGATATTATTTTCTTAAAATCGAGAATGATATTTATAATAGAATTTGATTTTTAAGTTATTATTTTTTTATCTTTTGAATATCTGATCTTCAAACCGGCTTTGTATTATCATGAGTTTTTTAGAATATAAATTTTTTTTGATAAAAAAAATTCAGTTTAATGTTAATTATTTTTTACTAACAATATTATCATTCTTATAAACTAGCGTCCAAACGGGCACGGATTATCCGTTTTTTTTATTGCGCTAACGTGTGAAAATATTAATTATAAGTTTGATTTTAATATTAACTATTTATATTGATTTTAGTATAAATTATTTATATGAAACTTTTTTTAAACTCAGTTTAATATTATTTTTGAAATTATATACTGATATAATAACTACTTATTTTGACATTTGTTGTTGGAGTATGTGTGTGTGAAAATTATCAGTTTAATATTAACTATTATTGCACTAATACGTAAACATAGATATATATTTATCAATATATTACTTACAAATATTACATATAATTTATATTTAAAACAAAGAAACTCGTTTGTTCGCCTTTTTAGTATACACACGTTTTAAAACATAAACATATTTTTTAATTTAATTTTGATCTTAAATTAAATTATTTACATAACATTTAAACGGGCATACCCGTTTGTACGCTTAAACACAACATCTTGCAACTTATCTAAAAAACATGTTACCAAATTTCTATAATATCAATTCTTCTTTCGAGGCAAATAACATAACAATTTGTATAGCTCCTACAAATAAATAGTATAATGCATGAGAGTTCTCATTTGTGTGGCACTTTTAAAGAATGTCTTCGTCATAAAAATATATATTCTATAATTTTCTCCTTCTCTTTTACAACAATAAAAGATATGGAAGTTATCTTTTAAATCCTTCTGAAATTACTAATCACCCAATATTTTAAGGGTTTAAAGGTATTGCACTGTCAGTTTGATACAATTTTACATATACAACCAATTAAAATGTCTATAATTACCATGAAATATCAGTATTTTTATTCTAATTTGTTCCAATATTTAAAAAAAGTATAAACAATTTCTATTATATATATATATATATATATATATATATATATATATATATATATATATATATATATAATATATATATATATATATATATATATATATATATATATATATATATATATATATATATATATATATATATATATATATGTGTGTGTGTGTGTGTGTGTGTGTGTGTGAAAGATTTGCATAGCATGACCTTTTCCATTTCTTTGTATATAAAACAAATCAATTACTAAACTTTAAAAGATAAGATAGACACTTTGTCTATTTTGATTTAAAGATAATAACTCATTTTCATTGGTATTACCAATTGAAAACTACACTTTTGTTTACTCAACACCATTTTTTTCGTTAACATACAATTATAATAATTGATGCATACGAAAGAATAAAAGTGGAATGATGAAAAGATAGTCAAATTTAAAGCCACGAACCCTCTTTTTTTTTCCATTTTCTTTCTCTTACACTCATAACTTCTCTCATACATCACACATTTTGTATTTATTTTTCAAAAATATGATCTTTTACATCCATAGAGATTCACTCCACTTTAAAAAAAATCTTCTTATATAACCACTAATCAATTCACTATGCTACACTTTCTTCATCTATTAAAAATTAAATGGAAAAGCAAGAGAAGCATCAATTTCAATTTGGGTTGGGATTGTAAATTGGAATAGCAACCGTCAAAAATTAATGATATTTAGAAAAATTAATGACGATTAATGAATTAAGCATCCTACCTGAATGATTCAATGACGTTAATATTCCATTCATTTAAATTAATAGGCAAATTTAAATTTAGATTCCTTTGAATTTTAATGAAAACTTCTCCAAGTAAACAATTAATAGGAAAATTTGTTTCTTTCTCTTTATTGTTCTTAAAACATATAATAGGCAAAAAAACTATGCTATTTGAAATAGTTATCTTTAAAATTCAAAATTATCTCTTTTGATGATGGAATGCTAATATAATAAGACCAGACAATATAAACATGAATTAGTTTAAAATCTTGATGTTGCTCTCTAATACAAAAACAACACGGAAGCAAACATTAGAACTTCCATAGAACTTCTAATACAAACAATGACAAAGAAGCAAATTATTAACCACCCACAAACCATAAATTATCAAGACTCATTGGATGAAACATTAAAACATATTTTTTTTACTCTCTATAAATTTGTATTTATGTTACACATCACACCTTGAGTAGTTATGGAGTTACCACAATTCAAAATAACTACCATCGTTTAATAAAAACTTTATTTTTTATTTGTATTTTAGTTTTTAAAATTAACTAAATTAAATTTTAAATAATAAAATAAAAATAAAAATAGATCAATTTAAAATTTCATGTTCCCTTTATATATAGTTATAGATAGATTATTTAATTTTAATTTAATTATAAATTATTTATAAAATAATTAAAGATAATAATATGAAAAATAATAAACCGCTGGCGGTTAATAAACCGTCGTGTAACCGCCGTTGTGAGAAAAAAATTAAAACTTAAAATAAAAATTGAAAAGGATAAATTTGGAAGAAAAAAAAACTACACCAAATTAATATTTTGCCTTTATATATTAGTCTAGGTAAATGGTATAAATTGATGTTTTTTTAGCATTGAAAATCATAAAAGTTTGTGATTGGTAGAATATGTAGAATATGTATATCTAAATAATTATTCTTGATTTAATTACAACACCCGCTTTAATTTTTCTTAAATTTCTGAGTCTGAGTTTCTTTAGTCTATTAATTTATGGAAACATACGTTTATATGTTTTGGGCGTTTTGATATGCAAATAACAATATGTATACTTTATAATCAGAATAAGAAAATGTTTACTATTCTATCTAATTATTTTTGTCTGCTAATGAGTTGTCATTAATTTTTAGGGAAAATAAACAAAAGTAGTTGCTATTTTTGGTGAACATGATAGAATTAACAATATATAATATTTGCAGCGAGTATAGCGTGGAGAGCAGGATATTATTCATTTTTGAGATGAGAAATGAAACACGAGGGATGCGTGGTCACTAAACGAGGACGATTATAAATTAATTAATTATTACTTCAAGGAACCACGATCTAAGCATATTATATATATATATATATATATATATATATATATATATATATATATATATATATATATATATATATATATATATATATATATATATATATATATATATATATATATATATATATATATATATATATATATATATATATATATATATATATATATATATATATATATATATATATATGAGGATAAAAAAATGTACTGACAATATTTTTTTTTTTATAATATCATCTAATAAATGTTAAATTAATTATTTAATTAATCAAATATGTATTGACATAATTAATTATTAATTAATTAAATTATAGTATATTGTTATTAAACACTAAATAGATGAATTATTTGATTGAACTTTATGTTTGAATGGGCCGTGATGCTTTTGAATCATTCAGTTAAACTCAATTAGAGGTCTTTGTTCTTAGCCGTTTAACTATTTAAGTGTTTCAATTCTGTATACTATAAAGACTTCGAGCAAATTGGGAATGTTTTACTCAAACCAAGTGTAACCGAATCAATGTTTACTGCATGGTTTGAGGCAAACAAAAAATTTGAAGATGCACGATTGTTAACATATGGTGATTTTGTCTCTAAGTTTGTTTACCATAAACCAAGTAGGAGTTAGAAACCTAGGAAAAAAGGGTATACCATTAGTCGTCTTATTTGGGTTCCTCAAAGCACAGGTGAATTATTTTATCTATGGATGATGTTGACTTTCAAAAATGGGTCATTATGTTACAAAGATATCAAATTTGTTGATGGTGTACAACACAACACTTTTAGAGAAGCATGCTTTGCTATGGGATTCTTACAAGATGATAGAGAATTTATTGAGGCAATTAAGGAGGCTCATGTTTGGGGTTCTGGTGTATTTTTACGAAAATTGTTTGTTACAATATTGTTATCATCATGCATGAATAGACCCGAACATGTTTGGAATAATACATGGTTCTACTTATCAGATGGTATTCTTTATGAACAACGTATATTGACGGGAAATCCAGGTACGTTAATTCTTTCATGGGTTTCTACTTTATATCTCTTTACTTTAATATTAGGTGTTTCAAATATGACTTATTATTACCATAGGATTGATACTTACGGACAAAGAAATAAAACAACTAACACTTATGGCGATTGAAACACAATTGCAAAAAAACAAGAAGACTTTGAAGGACTACAATCCAATGCCATATCCGAAAGATTTTGTAAATTCCTTTCTTGGAAATAGTCTTATTTATGATGAGAAACAATATGATCGGATTGCTCAACAACAAGTATATTTAAATTTACACGCATCTCTTACAGG